CACCTGAAGAAGGCTCCACGGCCGAAACGTTGTGTTCTCTTTCTTCTTTTTTTCAGCATGGAATAAACCTATTACTTGTTCCTATATATATGAATATTTACTAATAAGGAGTTGGGTTGCCAATTGCCTTCAGAACAGCTTCAGTCCTTCTCTTTCAAAATCTGCAAGATCTCTCATGTTGCTTTAGAACATATTAAAGTTTTGATTTTAATTCTACTCTTACAGCAAAAACACACTGGTAATTAGTATTGAAATTAATATGAAACACACTGTATGCAGAATCCTTTTTAATTGCAATTTAGTTACTTCACAATACAAGTCTTTTTTCATCAGATGTTTCCATTATTTTGTCCACCCCTTGTATTATTTTATTTAAAATTCATCAGAGTATTTATTCTTCCTTTAAAATGACAGGCAGGCTCTCAACATGCTTGAAATGCTACCTGATAAATCTTACTACACGGTACTACGAATTTGTCTGTTTACGTAATCTTTGCATTTACAAAGGCTTTTCCAAAGACTTAGAGTTCGGCTGTTTGGGAGAGGGGTCACCCAGGAGAGAAACAAATGTATCGGTCAGCTCTGGGATACGGACTGGCTACTGTTATTGCCCATAAAGGTTGTCAGCTCCTTTTGGAAGTAAGAATACCGGGTCAAACTTTGTCAACTTACCCATGGTGCGGAAGGCACTATTAGAGATAAGGTCAGCAGGTCCAAGCAGCAGTCCTCAAGAGGCTGGCTGCAACGGTTCACATGGTTTAACAGCCTGGCATACATGGCTGGTGGGAGGAGCTGCCTGGCTTGTTCACTGCAGTCTGGTCCTGGGGCAAGAATAAAGCCCAGTGTGTGCCTCATTCCATGCAGGTGTTTGAACAGCTGGCTAAGCTTTGATTCCAAGATGCTCTGATGAGACACAAGAAGAGGAGACAACAACTGACAGCACTGTCAAACAATGATAGCTCCTGCAGGTGAGAGGTCAGGCCACTCCACCTCCACACCTGCCAGTGCAAGTACAGTCAGTGCTGAAATGGGAAAACACTGGCTTTAGAATACATTGGACAGCTTGTCAAAACCAGCAGTGCAGCAGGCCTCTGTGTTTTCAAACCCCAAGAGTAGCTTTAGGTGGTGTGAACAAAAACAAACACCATGTGCTGGAAAGCTAGCCTACAAAGACCAAAGCACAATTATTTATGGCTTTAGGCTTGAAATATGAAAACAAAAATCAAACCAAGATTTTCCTAAAGCAACATACATAATCGGTTTAAGAAGACTGGGTTTGCAATATTTCCAGCATTTTCTTTATGCAGAACCATTGTTTAAAGCTGAGAATCACATATTTCTGAGCCTTTACCACAAACCTTTCTAATTGTGTTATTTCAACTTTAATATTTTTCTCAAATTCTGTTTAGAAATCTCAACACAAAAACAAGAAATTATTCAGTAAATAAAAAGAAATCTTTATTTTAAATTTAAATTCTATAACTTCTCATAGGAAAAATGTTTCAGGGAGTTTTGACAAAGCACTCTGAGCTGAAAAAGAATCTATATGCATGAATGTTAAGAATTAACTTTAACATTAAAAAAATGATCTTCACTGAAAACAGAACAAGAATAATATCATTAATCCATTGTGCTGATGCATTTATGCTGATACATTTAGATTATATAGATAGATTGCCGGTACATTACATAACATGCTGGTACATTTATCAGCATGATATGCAATCTGAGGGAAGTAACTTGCTTAAGGGTACAACAGCAATGGGACATGAATCCATAACCTTCCTGTTAGACGTCCCCAGGCCTAACCCACAGTATATACAGTATCAAAATGAGAACATATAAAAATAACTGCATATATGTCTAAAGCATAATGTTCACATTTTTTATCCCACATATTTATGTTGAAGAAAAAATGTAGTGAATTTATTCCTTAATGTGTTTTATGCAGTTGAAAATACTGTATAAAATGGTACTCTAACAAAGCATCAGAAAGTTTATAGAGGCTTCTGTCATTCTGATTGTCAGCAGGTATTAAAAGAGTCTAAACACCAAAGTAGTGTAAACTAGTGTGTAAACACTAGTAGCGTAAACAAAGTAAACTACTCAGAACCACATCATTCAGGAGAAAAGTCAAAGAATTATCCAAAGATGTAAGGTATATGTAAAGTGAAAGATTATCGACATAATCAACTCAAGGACAATTCTAGTGATGGCTACAAAATAAATCCATAACAAAAATCCAAAGTTTTAACTTTGGTGTCAGTCGTGAAGACATTCAATACTAATCCAACAATTTCTATCTGGAAGAGCGCACAACAGCATTTAATACAAATATGGTTTTAGAACATAACGTCTGGCATGTTCAGGATACAATGTCTCCAAGATTACCATTCAAAGAAGACCTCATGAATCAGGGTTTTTTTGGCAAATACCTATGGCAACATAAAGAAAAGACATGATACTCTGCTAAACGCCACTGAAGATCAGAAATGGATCTATACAGATTTAGTGTTCCAAAGTGTTTGAAGATGTTTTAGCCAAACTCTAGTCAAAAGGCTGTCAAATGGATTACAACACTTATGCAATCTACATCAGTCTATAGGCTAAATGAATTAACATCAAAAACAGTGTTTTTGACTAATCACCGTAACATTTTGGTTTGTGCTGAAGAAAGCTGATCAGAAGTGCAGGCTGCCTGGAAGAGCCAAAGAGGTTCTGCATGGAGAAGTAGTTGAAGATCCCTTATGAGAAGATTAAGCACCTTTTAAAAGATATACTGTACCTACTGGAGGTTATCAAAGCTAAAGGCAACAAAATATTGATTCCCAGGCATGAATAACGAACATCATTAGTTTATAAATATATGCACCTCTTCTTGAAAGACATTTTGTTTATATGTACAACAAGGAATTTATTCAGTATGTGTTTTTAGTCTATTTACTTGTGGGTAAACTACTTATAACCTGGATTTGCATATTCCCATTTCCATTTTCACAATTTCAAGACTACTATATATACTGTATACAAGCAAGCATGGCTAGAATAAATACTTTTATCACATGTATTATCATACAGCATGTACAGTATTAAATGCTACACTAAGAGTATTTCATCATGTTGGATTTTGTTCAAATGCATTTATTCTTACCAAGATTGGGATACCTTTGTACTTCCGGCTTGTGTCTGGTTTTATTAGAGTTGAGAAAGAAAATATATTATGTTTTTACCACTTTGTTATATAAAAATGAGGTCTCAATCCTACATATGTTTACGTTAACTAAACATTCAACATGAGAAATAATTAACTTTTTAACACCTACATGTATTCCTACACATTTTGTTTTCCAGAAAGCCTTCTAAGAAAAATAAAAAATATCTATGGATAAGACTTAAAGTGAGATTTGAAGGACCAAGGGACCAAAGATCACAATCTTCATATGCAACTCATTATAGCAAACTTGTGAACAATTTGTAGTGCGGTCTGCTACTAGGTTAATTTAGGGAGTACACATTTGTACAGCAGCACTTTACAAATGCTGAAACATGCAGAACTGTGTGAAATTATTCCAGATGATACATTTCACCTCAGGGTTCACAAACCCTATAAGTAGGGTAAGCCACTGCAATGAAAATTTCAGATCAAAAGCAGATCTGGACCAGAATAGTAATTTGCACAGAAAAGATTTTTTTATCAGCATTTAATATGTTGAATCATGACTGTTGAAGAGAAAGATCCATGCTCTGTTTATTTTTACTTCAATTTTATATAAAAGTATTTATATATATATATTTTGATTCCTGTGTACAGTATAATAACTATAAATTCTCATACATGTATAACACTAATAAATTATCATAGGTAATGCATTGATCCAAATCACTAAATAAAGCCCTTACAGAAAGCTACAATAGTTCCAGAAAGAGTCATTACAGGGGGCAGACTGGAAAGACTGCTCCTTGCATTAGTTACTCAGAAGGTGCCACGTGTACAGTAAGCATGGTATTTAGTTCCCCCCCAAGTCATTTTCTTTTCCTGTAAAAAAATATCTGGTTCCTACAAGGGGTTCATACTGTAATCTTGTTCAAAAGTATTTTTTTTATCTTTCAAATCACATAACTTAATATTAAATTGACAATGCACAAAAGAAAAATAACATACATAATGTAACTATTGGGGATGCGTTCTATCTTTGTGATAGATTGTGATGATTTCTTTCTGATTAAGTGTTAGAAATATCTAAGTGCTACTTGGGCACTTTTATTCTGACAGTGTGATCCAAGAACTTTGTTTTTATTTGCACTGATTTTTAATGCCCTGAACAGCTGTATGCCTAAAACCCATTTCCTTACTCATTTTGATGCACACTGTTTTTTGATAGGCACTGTTCCTTTTAGCACAGCATGTTCTCACTTTTTGAAATGTTTTCACTGTTGCATTTCAATGCTTGAAAATGCATTTACAATGTGGAGCAAATTTCTATGCCCCCAAATAAAGAGAGCAGAGCATCTGTAATAACAATCCTGCTGATTGTGATAGTCATAAATGTATGACTATCACAATCAGCATTTATCAAACTTCTGCTGAAGCTCTTCATAACTTGGACTTGTTAGTAGCAATGTTACTAATAATAGTAACAAGTCACAGCTACAAAGAGAACAACGGGAACACAAGAACAAAAGTAATAATAAATCAATCTCACTAAAAAGATGATGATGGTTTACAGCAAAGCCGTTCACTGTTGTTACCTCTGGGTCTCTTTCCTATCTCTAATTGCAAAAGCAGCAGGAGCAGGTCACTGGAGTTAGGGCTGCCAAGATTAATGATGAAGAAGAGTTTTTTTTCAGGAGAACTCCAACTCAGCATCAATCACCATGAGCTCTTGTCTTCCCTTTGCAGGAAGCTTCTCCGAGTCACAAGCCGGAGCTCTGCAGAGGACGGGGGAAGAGACAGAACAAACCTAACATCTGTTTCTGCCATCTGGGTGAGGGGTGAAGCTGGAAGCTCTCTCTGCTATACCTGTCTGTAAAGATTATTGAAGGTGGGAGGCAGCAGGAGGTTAGCACTGGAATCAACATGTGTTACACATCAATGTGCAATACAAATTCATCACATTGCCTTCAGTCCTTTACTTCTGTCTTCACAAATGATGTATTCTGGATCTGCGATAGGAGTTATTTTTTAAATATTGAGAGTTTACTTCTACACATAAAATCAGACATTTTTGTACCTTTAAGAATGTGGAAAAAAGCCTCTATAAAATCTATGAAAATGCCTGGAATTGAAGCATTCTTTAAAAAGTTTTAAAAAACACTGCTCGGTCACTGATGAAATAAGAAAACAAAAAACCTAAAAATTTGGTATTAGATATTGGTGTATGTTCCATGTTACATGGAAACTGTAACCTCAGCAAGAAACCGAACTATATATTTTACTATACAGTATGTACTGTATATACTGAACTTACTATATACTATATTTGACTATATATTTTCTATTGTGCTATATCTTTATTTTGCTGAATTTGCTACTTACAGTATGCTAATATAGTATACTATAATATAATACAATATTTTGTTGAACTACACTCTTAGAGCAACAAACCAGTCTTAATGATGCTCTTATAACATGGGGGACACTATGAGAAAGCTTGTGGTGTGGGGGTTTTTTTCCACTGTATGCCGTGGAAGGCTGTGTAAGTTTAAAGCACAGAGGCTGTCAGACTCATCATAGAATGTTAATTTACCTTATATAACTTATAGACCTTATATACTGCATGCATGTACTGTACAGTGCAAAATAAAATGGATCCCCTGAAAAGTTACTGGTTGTGACCTACAGTATAAAAGCCCTGCACATAAAGACTGTTAGGTAATTCTTAATTGCAAAAGCATCAGAGCTT